CTGATAGAAAGATTTCATTGTTGAAAATATGTTTGGAAGGAAAGATGTTCTTTTCCTTGTTCCTATTTTGCTGTTTGTTTCTTTGAAATAGCTACTATCCACTGACTTCAGCGTGCCCATCTGTCATCTCCAGCATTTGGTATATTGTTTCCAAAGCTAGTTGTGATTTAACATGGTATCTAAATAGGGCAAGTAATGAAGGATACTGCTTAAATCCCTCTGAGAGAATCTGCAGGACATCTGTGATCATTTGCACAATTTGGTTAGTCATAACCCTGGGAAGAGAATGTGGAATCTCTTAAGATGTTAATTGTAATGTGCAGTAGCTCTGTTTTCAAGTGTGTTCTAAAAGAAAACTGGCACCTTGGAATTGTCATAAATGCTGTGGAAATCAGTACATTCGCATTAAAGAGAACCTGCAAGATTATTTTTTTCCCTTTTAAAGGAGAGGCTCATTTTTCAATAGAATTTGACCAATGTTTGTGAACTGTGATGCTTTAAACCATTTACAGATTTTATCTAATTCTTGTTGAATGTCCAAAACTGATTAATGTTTTTTAAAAGGAACAAAAACCAAAACAGCAGCAACAACAAACCCCCCAAATGAGTACTTTTTGAGTACTGCAGCAATAGATGGTATTTTCATTTAAGGGGAGGATGGAGTTTTGTAGCACAGGGAATCTCTTTGAGCTGACAGAAAGACATTTTAAAGCACTTGCCATTTCTGTGATTTCTGCAAGTCTGAATTTGGCATGTGACTATCTGCAGCTATCATATGTAAAGGTGTAAAAAAAAAAAAAGTAACACTTTATGAACTAGGGGACACTTCTTTTGTGTGCACATGGTTCTAAAATAAATAGTCTACCACAGAAGTTGGCGCCTTGACACATCTGAGCATAGTCTGCTCTGTAAATGACATACGTATTTAGAAAGTTGGCTGACAAAATAGCATGTCTAGGAATTTCTGTGCAATGTGAAAAACAAGATTCTGACAGACGTTTTATATTTTTAGGGAGACTAAAGCTTCAGGTTAAAACCCATAAAATCATGCATGTTGGAGAGTAGATACAGAAAATACTTTTCAAGTGGAAGCTTTTAAATTAATTGGACAAAAAGCAGCAGTCATCGTAAAAAGAGGTATTTAGGAATGAAATCAGAGTCCCCCAATCCCCCCCAACCCAACCCCAGCTCAACCAACCTAAACCCAATTGCTGTCAGCAGAGCACAAATAGCAGCTTATTAGTATGTCAGCATATTTTTAGTTGCATCGTTGTCCAGAGACTTTTCTGTAAAAAGTTCCTTGCACATCTCAGTTGTAAATGATATTTTTGTTGCTGTTCCTTATGTATGGAGCCATTGAGTCATGCCATATATGTGCATTCTATGATTCAAAAGATGGAGAGCAGTCAGCATCATGGAGCATGTGCTGCTTTCTGTTTTGAAAGATACGAGTCTGATGATTTTTAAAGATGTGTATATTGGCTGTGTTCATCTTTTCCTGTCATTTATAATTCATTTAAAATGCCTATTTCATAAAATTTAGGTTTTAGGAGTTAAAAGCATAGAAAGGTGGTGTATGCCATGGCTTCAAATCTATGCTTATACACACCATTTGGATTGATTGTCTATTTTTTTTATTATCTGTTTTGGTTCTAATTCTACCGTCATCTCTTTTCTCTGTAGTTTTTAAAGATACGTTATTTTTGTTTCTGAAGTATAATGACAGAAAAGCCACTTTTCTGTGTTACAAAAAAACCTGTAATTTCTTTTTCTTTGAAATCTTCCCCTCTGACAATGCCTCACAACTACATGATCAACCTGAAGAAGTCAATACCATTCCTGTTGGCAGGTTGCAGTGTAGGGCAATTCATCATTTCCCTGAAAACTTCCTAAATTCAGCCAGCCTCCTGAAATTCAATCTCATTCCGCGTGTTCTTCCTGATTATGAATCTGATTTCAGGGGAGGAATTGTTGTTGTTCTCTTTCACTGTGCAGAGGAACTGCTAACCTCTGGAATAAAACACAGTGGAGGCAACAACTAAGGCATTCTGCGAGTCTGAGAACAAAGTTTCAAAATGGGACGTGAGTACCTTCCCATCAAATTAAAATGCTTGAACTAGCCAAAAGCTCCGGACTGTAGGTAGATTTTATGCTTTCCTGAAGTATGGGATTCTGGAGTGATGAGGTGATAAAAATACTGCAAAACATAGTAAATACTTTGCCTGCCTTCATTGTGTGTTAATGTGTGAATATTCCTAATAAGCTCTTGTGTAATCCCCTGCTATTCCATTTTTTTTAACGCATATTGGGGATCTTGAGCATTTGCAGTGAAGCTTACAGGAGACGTAGCAATAAGCAAAACCTTCCCTTTGCATTGACAGAATGACAAATTGGGAGGGCATTTTGGGAGGAGGGGAGAGAATGAGGTGGTCCCTTACGGCAGCGAGTGGAAAAACCTCACTTCCAACCACTAATTTCTTCTATCCAAGTGTATCAAAAGGCTTTCTAAGTGTTGACCTTAGCCCTTGCTGCTAAAAAGCCTTGTGCTATTCTATGATATAATAAGAAACTGAGACAGGGAAATCAAGTGATTGCATCACCATCTCCTTTACAGTCTTGGCCTAATTCAAAACAAAGCTGAGACCTTCCAACTCACAGCTCTGTGTGATGCCAAGGCAACAAAAACATTTGACAGCTTTGATCCCTCCCTTTTTGTTGTAATATAATCTCAATATATGCCTATGCAAAGGATATACCTTCACACAAAACTGTTACGCTTCCACAGTTCTTTCTGCAGAACTGCCCCCTCCTTGCAGAGTTGCTGTAGGGTTACGTATGAGGTTGTATCTGTTCACTCATCGCTTGCTACCTTTGTCCTCTCCATGAGTAGCTCTTCTTTTTACCAAGATAGAGTAACTCGTTGCCTCTTCTCAGATCTCTCCATTGGCTGCTGGTTGTTGTTCAGACTTTTGATGGTTTGGTTTGCAGATAAGCATTTGTAAGCACCATCCCTGCCTGACCACAGTGTAGATTTCTAGTCCTTCTCCTCCTGCCCCAATGTAATTTGCTACTCAAAAAACACCGCGCCCAACAAAATTCAGTACTGTATTTTGTAGTCCTTCATGGTTGCATACACATGTGTACTTACATACTTACTTTACAGTGCTCCTTGGAGTGTTGTACTATTTGAAAGACACCCGACTTTAGTGGAACAAACCAAGAAAATTGAAGCATTAGCTTTTGATGCTTGTTGTAAACTGTCCATGTGTATAAGTGAGTAGTTTTAGTGCCATAAGGTGATGCTTTCTGAGTGTGCTCAGGCTTTGTGTAACACAAGAGGGGTGCTTATTCCTCTCAACTAAGAAACGCAAAGAGAATTTGCAGAGAAATGCTGGGTTAATGTTTCCCATCATTGTTGCATGCAGTTCTTGTTAGCACTAATAGAATTTATGAACTCTTAGCAAGAGGGTAACAGAACACTTAAGTGCATTTTTTTGTCTTCGGAATTCAGAGAAACTATTCATAAAGACTGTGATGCGTAGAACTTTATTTCAGGAGAACAGAAAAGTCTGCAACCACCTTTTTTGAACAGCAGGCAGCAGAAATCAGCGTTGGCTCTCAGACTTTGTCCTTTTGATTTTTTTCATGCATTAGATAAGCTTGTTGTCTTTGACTGCAAATGTGTTTGGTTTTTTTTTTAATAAAAAAAAGTAGGTTCAGGTTTCTCGTGTACGACACAAGTATGCTTAGTATGTTCTTGAATGTTTTTTGAGGCATTCAGTACATAGAGCACATGTGGTAGTGGTGGATTAGTTAAGCTTTTCTCTGGCACAATGCTGCCACTAGCAGTTTTTTTGTGGTATTACATGTGTTTTTAGTCAAAGGCTTCAAGAAGTGCATTTAATGGAAAGATTTTGATGTTGTTTATTAAGCAGAAAGGGTGGAAACTGCTGTAACAACTAGGCTGATGTGAACAGGAGAGATAAGAACTTTCTGGTCCAGTAACCTGTGATTTAATTTTTAAATGTAAATGTTTTAAGAGCAGTCTTAGAAGGGTCTAGAGAACTGTAGTCCAGAAAAAACAAACGGTGCTTGCAGTTGCCTTTTACGAGCAGTCTTAGGGTCTAGAGAACTGTAGTCGAGAAAAAACAAACGGTGCTTGCAGTTGCCTCATTCCAAAAGAATGTTAATTTCCCCTAGGCCTTCCTCTGTTTCTTCAAGTGTTTTGGAGTAGTAGAAAGAATTGACTACCAAGGGTTTCAGAGATAAACCGAAGCAGAGAGTCTGTAATAACTTGATCTAAAAATTCTTTTTAAGTGGTGTTTATGCTTCAGTTTCCTTCTAAGAAGGAACAAACTGGTAGCTGGATTCTCAAATGAAAAAGGAGCGCTTGAGGAAGATGGTTTTGTCTAAGTTTTGCTGTTGGTTTTGTGAGGTACGTGAGCCTATAATTGTTGGGATTGAAGTGCAGCATCCTATTCCTTTGTGTGAAGGAGTGTAATAACTTCTACGATTACGTCTGAATCCATCTGTCCTTGGGGGAAAAAAAATCTGGTATCTCTTGGTTACAACGGTTAAGAATGGTTGCATTGAATTATGTTGCTATTGGTATTCTTTTTTCCGTGTTTGGCCGCAAATACTTTTTGTTTGTAGGAATTAGCAGACTAAGATCATGCTGCATGAGGCCTAAAATTCCAGTCCTTTTCTGATCCCTGCCTCTTCTTTTCTTGGGTTAGTTTTTTGTAAGTGAATAGATTAGTATTTGCCGGTCAGATATATAGAGAAACAACTGCATGATGATGCAGTAGGTTCTTGTTGCCTTTGCCTAGTTTGAAAGTCAATCGTTGCCCTTGTTTCATTGTCATAGAAATATGTTTTCCTCCCTTTTAGGTCTTACCTCAGGTTTTCTTCAGTGTGAAAACAAATTTTATACTTTAGAAGATTGTGTCAGATGTGGTCTGATTTCCTTTTTAGTAATGCCTTTAGACCTTCTTTTTCAGAGTAAACGGGACCACCTCCTTATGAATGTCAAATGGTACTATCGCCAGTCTGAAGTCCCAGATTCAGTCTATCAGCATTTGGTTCAGGACAGACACAATGAGAATGGTAAGTTAGGCTCTGTAGAGTAAGGCCTTCTTTACTTGTACTCTGAATTTTAAGTTTTAACAGTCCAGAAAGCAAGAACGCTTTTGCATAGGGATATGACGCAAGGACTGTTGATGAAAACAATATATTAGAAGATGGATGATAGTGTTTCTTACATGCCTTGTTTGTTCTAACTAGTGTATGTCCTGTAACCATAGCTATAATCAGATGCATTTCAGGTATGGTTTAAATACTGTGCTGTATTATACTAATGCCTTAAGAGAGAGTAGAAAAGAAAAATAACATTGGATCCTTTGTAGGCCTTCTGGACAGCGTACTAATACCTAACTGGCTGAAGACCAAGTTGTCTGAAGAAATTGTGAATCTCTTCTATTTTTTGTGATTCTGCCATAGTGTCATGAGAACTACGTTTTTGCATTCACACTACCTTGCACGTATGAATACTCACTGTGATTAATATTGCAGTAAGTGATGTAACTGAAGCACTTGTAGCTGAGTTCCCCCTTTTCTCTTTGCAAAAACAAGTGTGATCTTGGGTTTAATAGAAGCAGAAGAAACTTTAGTACATATTCCAGTGTCATTTATCTCTTGCCTCTAGGGGAGGCATAACATTTGCTTCTATTCTTACCAGGAAATTTCCTTGAGGGAACTGTTAAAATTCTGAAGATACTCCAAGGTGAATTGTGATGATAAAAGTTCATGTTTGAAATATGGAACACAGCAACTTTTTGGTGCATGACAGTACAAAGTTGCGCATACATTCTCCTTTTTGCAGGCATTAAGGACGCTTTCCATGTGCTTTTAGCAAAAGCTGCACAAGTCTAACATTTCTCTTACTAATTTATTTGAAACTTCTAACAATGGGATTATAGGCACAGTGTCAAAAAGTGAGCATTTTTGATAACATGGCTGCTTTTTTGTGTCACACTTCTGGATGTGGAGAAGTATTTTTGTCTGTTCTTCAAAGGTATTATAAAGAAGTCATGGAAAAAGTTGTCTTCCAGTTTTTTGTTAATACTGAGAATTTTCTGTATTTGAACATGAGTATCAATATTTATCTCAAAGCCAGAGCACTAAGCAGTTAGTACTGTCAAGATTTTGTTGAAGAATATGCAAACAACCAAAACCTTAACCCAGAAACCAAAAGTCAGTGATCAATTAATTTGCCTAGTTCCTTTCACCTAGGAGTGACCACTTCTAGTGGTCAGTGGGTAAGATGTGTCATCCAGTACCCCTAAAATCTGTTTCCGTTCAGCAGTTCTTTAGGTATGGCAAGGGAGAATTCACGTGTAAAAATGGGTATCATGTTATTTCCATACCTTACAGGCCATGTAAACAATCTGAATGTTTGTCACCTTAACACTGAGGAGTGTGTATCTAAGAAACATCCTCAAACTTTGACCTGTAAAAAAAAAAAAACACCTGCAAAATGGCAATGGTAGATGCTTTCAGACTGCAGCTAATGTGTTGGTGGTTTTTTTGTTTGTGTTTTTGCTTTCTGGCAGACTCTGGACGAGAGCTTGTTATTACAGACCCAGTTATCAAGAATCGAGAGCTCTTCATTTCAGATTATGTTGACACTTACCACGCTGCTGCCCTCAGGTAAGTTACAGAGGATGTGGTGCTGTGTCTCAGAGGTGGATGAGAAAAACCTTATTGAGAAAGGTGCTTTTTCTGGTTTTGCGGGGGGGGATCATTAGCATACTGCTAATCATAGCTCATAGCGCATATAGCTCATATGCTCATAGCATACTGTTCAGCTTTCTCCTCATCTCCTACAGTAATTAACTTGTGTTATCTGTTCTCATTCAAAAAGAAGCTGTAATTCTACAATCTCGTTTTAATCTCAGTTAATCAATGTTGCTCAGAAGACATTGTTTCCCATCATTGCCAGTTTAGGTTACTGCTAGTTCCCGAAGAAATACTACCCTTCCCTCCTCTGTGTTTGATTTCACTATTAACAATAGCGTCTCCTAGTAAAGTGACTGTTAGTATGTTGCCCTGATTAAATTGCATTAAAGGCTTTTGCTCTGGGCACTTGTCATTGTTGCAGCTCAGCTAAGAGCTCCATTAAAAACTGGCTGTACAGACAGGAGGTAATGGACCCCTGTATTGTTTTCTGTACTATCTGCCCTTCCCTGGAGGTTGCTGCTCTCTTTACCCACTAAGTTTTTTAACTTAAGTGGCCAACCTTTGACTAGGCTGAGGGGATACACCGTTACTTAAAAATGTTTTCAAATAGAAATAGCAAGGCATTATTTTTCAGCCAATTTTCAACATGCCAAACATGCATGGATATTGTCAAAATGCAAATTGAATAATCTCCCTGATAATAATGCTCAGATGGTGTTTCACTAGAACCATCTGGAGACATTTTTTGTTCAGAGTCACTTTGCTGAAGCCACTTACTTCAAGACAAACTAGCTGCAACTTCTGTTATAAGGGTGGGAAGAAGTCTTTGATTTACATTAGACTTTTTTATAAACTCTGAAAATTCCAGTGGTGTACTATAATCTCATGAAATTCCACAATGCCTTTTCTGAGTTGCAGAAGGTCGTCTTCCAATTTTAAATCCGCATGCTTAGAAACAAGCTAGCGGGAGGTTGGTTGTCTTGATGGAACCAATCTTGGAAATCTGTCTGCTTAAACAGAGGGAAACTGAACTATGTTTATGGAGTTTTCCCTGGGAGTATTTTAACTTCTCTTCTACATCCTTTCTGTTTTTTTCTTTAAAGAAAAGATAAAAATGGAATATATATGTATACCAAGCAAACTTGAAAAATAACTTTCTATTCTCCCCTTCCAAAAAGAGTGGAGGCTGCTTGAAAGACCAAACTGATCGCTTTCTCAACCTGTCTTGTGTTTCATCTGCCTTCTTTTTGTTTGGAAGTGCATACCATGGGCACCTTTTGGATTACTCTCTTGTTTCTCTTTGTTGGCATATGGTTTTGCTGTTGTTTTGTTGTGTTCTGGACTGTTTGTACTTTAGATACCATCTACAAGCCTGTAAGAATTATCAAAAGATGCTGATAATTGAGATAATATACTTTTGCAGGATAAAGATATTTTTTCTGATTCTTTTCTAGCAAATTGTGATTAATACACATCAGTAACTTTCAGTGTACAAGACAAACATAAGGGTAATTGCACATGGTGTTCTTACAGTTTGAGAACATAGAGTAGGCAGAATGTGTTGTGATGCATGAAGGGAGGGTTAACATGAAATTCTAATTTATTATAATATGAGATTACTTCTCTGCCCTCTGCAGGCAAATAGCTCTGGTCACACAATGAGTTGATGACAAACTGGGAAATAAAACCAGTGATTGTAACTACCAATCTTCTGCTCTAACCAGTGGAAAAATTTAACTAGAGGATACTTGTAGATCCCTGTGGAAGTGTGTAATAAAAGTTAGTCCTTTTTACCTATATGGTAAATCTTTGTGGGTAATACATAGTACTACTTGTCTGAAATGCTATGAACAAGATGTACTGCTTTCATGAATATAGATAATACAAGCTTATCTGGAAAATGCCTATTAACTGTCAGATGAATTATTGAAAGGAAACTAAATATTTTCCCCAAAATACTTCTGAATTGTGAATTTAATGTGAAATATCAAAACAAATACCCCTTCTCGTTTTCTTTCTTTCTAAGTGACTAAACTAGGAAACTATCTTCAGCCACCAGGGATAAAATAAGTATCAGTGAACAAGTTTGTCTTTCAGTATTTCTGTGTGATGTCTCAATTACGGACCTTGTTAATGTTCCATTACAACCTGGCATGACCTGTGCAAAATCCAGTGTTGCTTTGTCCTTTGCCAGAAGGGCAATTGACTGAGAATTAGGCAATCATAGGGACAATTATGCAGCCTCAGCTCACAGGATAGCTGTATTGATTTTGTCTTAGAACAGTCGGCAACTTTATTCATCCTTCATCCTTCTGGTGTGTTTTTTCCTCACCTGTAGTAGTTGATGTTGTGTATCGGAGAGCTCATGTTAGAAGGCATCGTTCTTAGTGGCTGTTGATTGGCAAGCTTTTTTGAAGTGCTTTACCATGAAAAGATTAGGAAGGGAAGCAAGCTTAGCATTTCAACTTTCTAGTGCGGTTGTTTCAAGTAGGCAGTGCTTTTAAGCTCTGCTGAGAAGACTAGGCAAACAGATCCAGTGTTATTACGGGCAAAATAATTATTCATCTTGGTGTACTGGTGGCAATAGCACTTGTCATTCAATTTTAACCAAGACGGGCAAACCTTTTTACAATGTTAAATAAGCCCCATAGCAGCTTATTTATAATAGCAAATACTATTCAGTAAATACCAGTGAAAAGAGATGCTATCTGTATTAGTACTAGAAAGCTTGACATACTGAAAAAGAGCAAAATCTTGTGCTTTGCTTATTGCATTGAATCAGGTTTAGATAAAAAGCACTAACTCTTCGGCTGTCTGGCCCACTTGTCTCTGCCCGCTTCTGATCCGATTTACTTGGTGGCAGTAAACTGCAATGCATTGAATGACAAAACATGAGCAGCTGTGGAACATTAACAGTCCAACAAACCCTTGTGGAAATGAGATGCAACTTCTTACAGCGAGTCTTTATGCTCATCCTTAAGGATAATGACTTTATCACCAAACTATATTAAAAAAAATTATTAACAATCTGTTGTAGAACAAGCTAATAAATCCTCTTCTCTTTTTTTTTTTTTTAAATGTCTGAGTTTTACTCTTTTATGTATGAAAGTAGAAGGAAGAAACTTTTGTGTGTTTGGAATTTGCATTGTTAGGATTGCAGTCTTGCTAAAAACAGCGTAGATTTGCTTTTTATTTGGAAGTGTTATTAAACTGAAGTTTTATTTAGCTTTCTAAATAAAAAGCTGACTTCTCAAATAATATGAATAGTAGAATTTTTGAAGCTTCCTTAAAGATGTAAGTGCAATAGGACTTCAAAAACTTTGAAAAGAAGACATTTTCAGGATTGTATTTCTAGGGTAGATACTGTTCATTAGTCTGATTAAATTTGGGCTCTCGGGACTGTGTGCTGGCTGAATGAGAATTAATGAATGTTTGTAGAACACCATCTGAGACATTGTAACTGAATTTTCTTCCCTTTCCACCATGGGAAGAATCTGCATGGTTATTTGTTTCAACAGGCTTATATTGATGAAGTTTTAGATATTTATGAGAACACAAGGATTTCTGTGGCTTATACACAGATTGCAGTGGCACTTAATTAAAATAGCTGTTATTCAAGGTAGAATTCTAATACCATTTTCCCTCTTTCTTTCAGAGGGAAGTGTAATATCTCCCATTTCTCTGACATATTTGCTGCTAGAGAGTTTAAAGCCCGAGTGGATTCATTTTTCTACATACTGGGCTATAATCCAGAGACAAGGTAAGTGAAGTGACTTTTAAAGGCAAGCTTTACCACTGATCTGAGCCTGTAGCAACAGGAAAACTACTCAAGGGAAGAAAAGTTAAAATCAAGTATGATGCTGATAGGAAGGTGGAGTGGAAGAAAATGCGAGGGAGAAGCTACCTCTTCCTGCTGAGTGTATGTATAGGAGGAAAATTAACAGCAGATAACAAAATTGTGCAGTGAGTCACGATAGCCGGTCGCATCTCTGGGTAAATAACATACTGCTTCAAAACAGGTTTTTAGAACTGTGAAATTTTTTTTAAAGGTTGCAAACATTAGCAGGAATTCTTAGCTGTCTCATTGGCTAATTGCACACCCCTGAAAATACTTTAAAAAAATACATTCACATCTTCTAGTAAGGAACATTGAAATTCATACACTTTTAAGAAATCAAATAGAAAGTTTTTAAGTGTGGGAATTCATGCTTTCATGTGTAAACACTCATATAGGGTCCCATATCAACAATTCCTAGTTTAGGCTTCACTGGCCTGGAGCAAATTAGAGTTACAGAAAGAACTTTTTTTGGGAATTAATACGTATTTGAAGAAGGCATGTTCAGCATGGTCTTTCATTTCACAGTTCTTTCAATCTGCCTGGGAGTTGTCCAACCCATCTTTGTCAGCTGTGTTTGGAAAGCATAGCTGGTACTGGGCTGTACCTTCGTTATTTTTCAGGTCCAATCCCTAACTCTTATTTTTTCATTTATGTAGTTTTGTAAACACAGAGAATGCCTTACAAATACCAGCCTTAAAGAGTTTGTTGTCTAGGGGCGTATTTCTTTGAGCACTTGAGTAAAAGAATAATGCGTGACAGGGCTCAGCAAGGTCTCTGCTGACTGAAAGTTATTGTTTCTTTCAATGCAGAAAACATAATTAGCTTGTGGACCTTGATTTCTAGATATTGTTGAGAAAAGTATTATTTTAAGTGGGGATTAGATAGGCATATAAATAATTAAATATTTGAATTGTTACATTGTAGATTTACTGTTTTTAATGCAGATACGAATCTTTGTGCTTCAGGGCGTAGCCAACCACTAACTGCTTGCAGTTAGGAAGAAACTCCCTGTGTGGGCCTATTACTATGTAATTGCCCATTTATGAGGCTTCCTGTACCTTACCCTGAAGTGTCTCCAACTGTCCGTATGTCTGGGACAGGGTACTGGACTAGGTAAACTCCCTTAATCGATTCAGTTTACATTCATACCTGGTGTTGTCAGTGTAAGTCCCTAGGAGGCAATCTTGCTAGTGTATGGTGCTGAGCTCTGGGAAAAGGGCATTAAATCCTATAATATTTTAAAATACAGTATGTTAAAATGTTTTTGTAACATCATTTGTGTATTTTTTTGGAGCAGTCTGACAAGGCGAGGCATTTATGAAGTTTGTCATGATACACCTCTCCGATATTCAGCATCATGCTTGACCCCGATATTTAACTTTGTCACTTTTCTTCAATGCAGTTTTGAGGTTGTGAATGCTAAATGAACTATTTGTATCAGTGTTCAAGTTCTGTGTTTAATGGATTATTTCTCTTATGAAATGCCATTTATGTGAGTTGTCGGTGTAGTTTTAAACCCACTTTCTGTGTAGAAGTAGCTGTTAATTCTTCCAGCTATTAGAAAATGACTGAGCCTGAAAAGATCAATGAAATGACAAAGCATAGCACTTAGTGATCAGCTAATTACTCAGACTAACCAGCTCTCAAAATGTAGGTTTTTCTTCATTTGGTTGCAGCCAGGGTTTTTTTTAATTCTAGCTCTTCAAGTCTGTGTTTTGTCTTGGAATGGGGGGAGGTTTAGAAAAAGGAGCTGAGTCTAGGTTGCTTGATTATTTTTGACCTGTGCATTTGCTACTGCTTTGCAATGCATGCTTCTTTGAATACCTAATTCTAGATTCATTTTGCTTTTGGAAGTAAAATAATTGTAACATTCCAGGATGACCTGTTGGTGGTCTGTCTATAAAAACAAAACTTTGTCTTGAACTTGACGTCCTTTTCTAGTGTAGTGTTTTGTTTCACGTTGAAAGGGTGGCATATGTTCATGGTAGCTTGAAGTAATAGTATGTTCAAGATAAGGTTCTGAAATCTGCAATGTGACCCCCTCGATTGACTTGTGGAACTGTGTGACAGGATACATTCTTAGACCAAACATGCTTGAGCTGTGGATTGCATCTACAAAGATACATTTCTGTTTGAGTGATTCTGTGTTCAGCATAAGATGTTCATATAGTTTTCCAGGACTCTGAAATGCAGCTCAGTGTGTTGGGAATCTGACTATTTTCTACAGTTTCATGTGTTCTATTTGCAAAACAACCTGCAAAAATCCCAGACCCCCAAAAACATCCAAAACACTGGTGTGGTGGATGTGTAATAAGAGGCCCTTTTGTTCTTGGAGCACACAGTGCTAAAGGAAAGTATGCTTTGTCCTTTCTTTTCTATTTGAAAGCTTGCTGACTATAGGTCTAGCTTGGGAAATACCAACCGTGATCCTGTTGTCGATCATTCTGTGGTCTGGAAGTGGTAAACCTGTGCGTTTTGGGATAACTTTTTTCTTTACAGTATATATCAAGCTGTTGGTTGTTTTTTTTTCTACAGAGTTTGGTAAAAGATCACACGCTATGTTTCAGTAATTTTCACATCAGTGAGAAAAATCTGATTGTGGAATAAAAACCGAAACTAATATTAAAGCTAGAGGCTGGGTGTTACCACCTTGAATAGAGTGTTAATCAAGCTAGTAAGTAGACCTGAAATATGTTCCTGGCTCTCAAGTGTGTGGAATACATCCACTAAGCTTGTATAGCCAGCTGAGAAAGAAAATTCACTTTATGCTAAGTACTTTAAAATAATTAATTTCATGTCTTTTCAGAGAAGGGACTGCCCTGACACTGACTAATTCCACTATCATGGAATCCCACTCAAACTTTTGGGCTCCCCAAATGGCCAGATGAGACCAATGCTTTATCAAAGAAGAAATGTTAGGTGCATTGTGTATGCCCTGAAATTGGTTTAGAAGCATTTCAAAGTGTATAGAGTAGCAGTCAAGAAGCATTAATGGACAAACAGACCTGGTGTACCACTTCAGAAAATCAGTAACTGCACCAGCTTGAGTTAAGCTGTTGATTTTGGTATTTGAGTCAGAAATCAGCTCTGCCTGTTAAAAAGAAATCTGCAGCAAGGCTTGGGAATGCTGTTGAACATGCCGCTTGACCTCAGACAGCTGTTTTTCACCAGCTCACATCTTACCACTTGTTTCCTGCAACTCTAGTTCTTACCCTATCTGTAGTATAGTGCCAGATGTAGCTGATTCTGGCAAGAACTTCTTCCAGTCCTTCCTTTTGTACTCTGACATCCTGTATGGACTTATAGAAACAACACTGAACTATCTTACTCGAGGCTGCAGGCATGCCAAATGCCAGTATTGTTACTGGCCTGTTTTTGTAGTGTACTGGCATGTACTAGGCAATCAGTTCTTTGATCTCAGGAGTAAATAAATACATTATGAAGTGTTGTCTGACACGGACATCTGTAAATATACATAGATTTAAATGTTACTGAATTTTTACTTGGAACTATGAGTAATCGGATATTATTCTACAAACAGTTTTCATGACCGTGAATCAAAATTACTCTTCAACAACACTGTTTTGCATTGTAGAACAAAATAACTCCAAACAGTCAAGGCACAGGTGAATTTTCTGAATAGATGTTTTGGGAAGACCAGGATCTTCTCTGTGTTTTTATTCCACAACATTTGCTTTTTCTTCATTTTTAATCTTTTTCTTCTGAAGTGCTCTTGTTTGGTAATACCGTGAGCTAAATGAGTATTGGTGTGTCTCTGAGAGAAGCGTTCCCAAGAGTGAAATTGAAGGTGACTTGCTAGTTCTTTTTCTTGTCCTTCATGGCTTCCTATTTTGTGTTGTCTAGAAGGGGATTTCTGTTGAAAGTCTGAATCATGAGCCTGTTCCCCCCCCCTGCCCCTGCAGTGGAAAGCATAGTGGGTGGAATACAAGTTTCAGGTCTAGAAACAGATAAGGGGTAGTATAAAGATATATTCTTAAGAAGTCAAGAAGCCAGTGTGGAGTTGTGTATAAGTAGGATTTTCAAAGCTTCCTCTTAATGTTGCCCCTCTTTAGAAAAAATTGTAGTTGAATGATAGATTAACATCTACAGCCAAAATGCAAACAGAGGCTGAAGAGGACTGCAGAGCTCTGTTTTGCTATTTTGATCCTTTTGCCTGGTTAATTTTTAGCAGTCAGAATATTTTGATTCTATGCATGTAATAGTGCCTAGGGCAGTGATAGAGGGTGAAACGATCATAAAGGTTTTTAAATGTATCCATCCTTATGTCTCAAACCAGAGCCTTAAAATGAGTTACTGTGCTTACACTTAGTAGACCACTATGACACTTTGTGGTGTACTTTGTTTAAATCAGACAATTCCTACACAGTGTTGCAAGTCCAATTTTTTTTTTAAATAGGTTTAGCAATTTTAAATACAACCAGGAATCCTCCTGATCAGGGAAATTGGGGACTGTTTGTATGACATGCCCATGTGATGTGAAACAGATGGCTTCTGTATGTCTTACTAAATTACAGCGAAGTTGTTTTGTCTCACTCTTGTCTAATATTCCTGGGAAGGAATTATGGAAGATGCTGAGCACCCTCACTTCATGTCACTAGGTATTGTCATGCATTGAAGTGCCTCGCGGTTGATTCCTTTTAAACAAGCAGACCAAAAAAACCCTCTCAAAAACTGTATTTAGACAAGTGGATGTATAACTTCCTTGGGTTGTTCTTTCTAGCTGATATCACACTTATTAATATAATTTGGACTACATTATTTCTATGTGCCCATATCTCAATTTATCTCTGAACTGGAGGGTAGCATAAAAGCTGAGAACTTTTTCTCAAGTTCATGTTGTGAACTTGAGGGGAAAAAACCCAATCCAGAACAACAGCAACAAAAAATCCGGAAATGCATTTCAGCTGTAGTTGAAATGAAGACTGGATACATTTGGCCTTGTAAGTGTTCTTATTTAAATTGGTCAGCTGGTAAAGACTGTGCAAAATATCTGGAGTAGTTATCTTTTTCTAGTCTGTAGTCTGGGAAAAAAAGACAGTCTTGTTCTGCATGTGTTGCCTCCTGTAATATTTTTATAACAGAAGTGAGCTGATAGAATGTTATGGTGGGTTGGTCTTTTTTTTTTTTTTTTTAAAGCAGTTTAGCAACTGGGAATAAGGTGAGCCAGAGCAATGTGACTAACGAGTTTTCTGCAGGCCATCAGCAAGAGCCTCACCAGTGGTACGTGGACCGTCGTGCTGGTTTAAGAGAAATGGTGGTAGTGCATGACTCCTCAGAAGTCCTACAAATAAACACTGGCATGGAATGTTTCATCAGCATTTTAAAAACAACAAGGGAATGCAGATTTAATAGGCTAATATGTTTAAGTGGCCTTGGTACCATCTTACTTAACACAGTGGGATTTTCTGCAGCCTGCAGAGGTAGGAAATAGTTCTGTACACATTTACTGTGTAGGACTTCCTTCTTTTGGACTTAATGTGGCTTAGAACAAAGAAAAAACAATTTTCCTCTTGTAATTCACCGGGGAAGAAGCATTTTTAAATACATTAGAGAGATCTTTAGTTGCCTCTCTGAACATCAGGGCCCTGATGTACTGGTTATTTTTTATTAATGCAGGCTTCCAGTCAATGAGGACAGAAAGGAGATCGCTGACTGCGTAAAATTCTGGGCTGGTTTGAGTTATAGCTCAGGAGACGGAAAGATCCTCTTTTGCCCAAATACGAGGTTCAGTCACAGTTAGGAAATATAAAGGCATTAATGTCGTAGGGCGTTGTTAAAGAATAAAAACTTAAGCTGAAAGAGAGAAATGCATGAGGGAGAGTCTTGCGTCAGATGGTTACAGCAGAGGATCTGGCTGCTGGACTTCTGAGTTCTGCTCCAGCATCTCTAGATCTGCTGGGGGAATAATGTAGCTGTTGTTGGCATCACTGTATCTCTTCATGGAAGAGAAAGCGTGTTTCTAAATAATTTTGAGATTCGAGGAGGAAAGGCTGAACATGTTTGGGAATTTCTGCCCAGTTACTGTACCAACTGATTACAGGGACAGTTGACTACATGTAATTGAAAGCAAACCTCCATTTAAATGATGTTAAATAATACAGTATTTTATTTAATAGTCTCTATTAGTACACACAGATGCATAATGAGAATTTCCAGGTGTGTATGACTCCTAGAATCTTGTACTTTTTCTTGTAAACTGTTGTCCTAAAGTTTGAATTCTTACCATATTTCTTTTTTTCTGCTCGCACACATTAGAGTAAATGGGCAACAATCTTGAAAAAGGTAGTCACAGAGTGGAATAGCAGTTGGTGTTTTGTTTCCTGGCAGGCTTAATGTATTTTGCAAGTAGCTTTACTGTGGAAGATGCAGTTTCAAATTTTGTTCCTTACTCATTGCTTAGTATTGG